CGTTACGAAAATCACGTTTTTTTTTTTTTTTTTTTTTTTTTTTACTTGTTTAAGGTCCGATGTATGTTAATGTTGTTCCAGACGGAGAAAGATTTATTATTACTCTAGCGGAGAGAGAAAAAGCAATTTTTCATACACGTGCGCAAACACGCTTCTCACAGAAGCTTTGACAACACCATTATAAACAAAGTAACAACAAAGAGAGGGAGAGAGAAAATCAGTTTTGAAATTTAGTTTTTTGCCCGAGAGCACTTTCTTTGTTCCACGTTATACAGGCGGGTAAATTGGTTTTATGATAGAAAATTGTTTCAATTTATCACGCGTTGCTGTTTTTAATTATTTCCTCATTGTTTCAATATATTGGAGGCTGATCTCTAACGCGCAAAATTTCGCGTCTATTCACATATTCATTCGATCGAGAATAACTTAATCGCGCCTTTTTGTTCTTGCTTTTTGACACATTTGCGTTTCGCGCACCGCGAAAATGTCTCTTTAATATATGAATTTCATTTGGGCGTATTACATTTGCTAGATTGCGCTTTGCGAACACTGCGCCTTGACCCGGCTACTAAAACAGACACAAATCGATGTGTTCCCACGCTATTTTTTTTATCTCAACAACAAGGACTCGCGAATTATTAGTTATTCTCTAACGAGTTCGCGTGTTATTCGCGAAGCGCTTTGCAATATATAGTCGAGAATTTATCTAAAAAAAAAAAATAATAATAATAAAACTGTTGCGCCAAGTACGTGCGATAAATTTGAAGCGCCAACGCGTTTTGTCTGGATATTGATATCGAAAACGTGACTTGCGTGATCGAATCGTGGAGACTGCGTGTTGATTATACATGTGGAGATCGATTTCTCGATGAGAGATCGATCGGCAGTACGTGTCTGTGTGTGTGTGTGTGTTACGCGATGCGCGCTCGTGTATAAATCCATCGATGACGCTGACAGGACCACTTCAGTTGGAATTTATTCCATTGTGAATGCTAAAAAATTCCCATCGCGAACGTGTTGTAACTATATATCTCGAACGAGAATATTGTCTTTTGATATATATATATAAACGCGGCTGTAATGATACACGTGCGAAAAATACACTGAAATTGAATTCCTCTTTCTCTTTGCGCGTTGCGTCTTTAATATCATCGTTACATCGTAATAATATAGAAAGCGGAATTCTTTTGTGCGTTCTCTTTCGTTTCAGAATTCTTTCGCTCGCTCAAAAGTAAACTTTCTGAAAAATACAAAGTTTTTTTGCTTAAAAAAAAAAGAAAAAAAAAAAAAAAAAGAAGAAGCAGTTTCACTCGATGTGGTGTATTTATTGAAATTTTGTTTGATCGCGAGAAAAACGTTGCGATTAACGTTTTATTATTTACGGACCGTAGAAGAAGCGCTTACATTCCGTACGCAAATACATTCGCGAGTTGCCGACTTATTTATATGCAGTCTGCAGTTGGAGTATGTTTATAGTTTGTTTTTACTTGGCACACGCGCGCGTGCAACGGTAACGCGCATCTGCTAAAGTACGCCCTCCGGTCGACCGTAGCGATTTCGTCGACTTTGAGAATCTGTACTTTTCTGACACACACACACACACATACTCTCTCTCTCTCTCTCTCTCTCTCTCACCTCTAAAATAGCGGCTCTCTGAAATTCTGCTATTTGCGTCAACCGCAGTATCGCGTACAAACGCAGTTGTATAATAGCGAGCTCTTTTGATAGACGCTCATAAAATTTGCTCGGATTTGACGAAGAAACCACGTTGAAAGGTCAACAAAGAATATATTGTATATTTTATTTATCCCACGCCAATATAGAAAATGTATATTTTATTCGCATATCGAAACACTTCGTAGCAACTAGCTGATATTTTTTTTTTTTTTTCCATGGGAAAAACCTATTACGGCCATATTGTACGCTCAAATGAAAATGTTTTTTTACACGTTGCTCTCCGATCGCAGAAATGTTTCAGTCTTTTTTACGGAGGGGAAAACAGACAATAATGGTATATATCGATTTGAAGGATGCCCTTGCGAGCGACGGTTGCTCCTCAAAGAAAATCGATACTTTGAATTAATTGACCTACATAGACGCCGAGGAGACTCGTGACCTCATCATTAAGATCGGTACGAATGAATTGGTCGATTTGTACGCGATTACAATGTAGCAGCGCGTTACACATATATTGTAAAATACCGCGAATACGCACCAATAATTGTAATAATTAACATTTACACAGGTGAACAATTGGTTCGCTCTTTTTCTCTTTTTTTTTTCTCTCGACAGACGTGTTCAAAAATATTTGCAATATTTTTTTTTTTAAATTACTAATTTATTTTAAATTATAGATATTAATTGGATATTTCTTATTCTCTCAGTTGTACGATAGAATCTATTTTTAAAATGTTCTAACCTAGCAACGTTAAACACGCTGTGCACATATTAGTAGCGTATTGTTTTCGAAATATATTTTTTAATAAAAAATTGCCAGCTACGGTGAATAAAAATATCACCATAACCGCCAGGAATATCTTGTTACACGCGTACGAGAAAGCAAACAAAAAAAATTTTCCATCGATATATTGACCCGTCCTGTAGCCTCCTGTTCGTTATATTAAATCCATCTTTTTCATTTTCGAAATGTTTTTACGGCAAACATTTGTTCCCGTTTTCACACTCAATCACGTCCCGTGAAACTTGACAAAGATCCGTCTGCTCGTTCGAACCAATTAGCGTCGCGCGCTCGGCGGCCTCCGAGTTGCGTAAAGAAGACTGTGCCTAGCTCGGTTTTATTTGCCGTTTTACTTCTTGATTCGCGAACGCGCCGTGCAAAAAGCATTCGCACCTGGAAAAAAACTAGCGCAGAGACCGACGAAGATCTCAAGAGGTGGATAACAAATGTGATTCACACACTGACTCACGTAGTAGTCCAAGATAGTTAGTTAGCTCGCGCGTGTCGTATTATTCATCGACTCCCACTACTGCTAAAATGTTTGATTTGAAACTTAAATCAACAGAAATGTGTCGAAACGCGACGATGCAAATTTAAAGGAAAGTATACGAAGTAGTACAAGAAAGTTCAACTTCAATAACGAGGCGATCACGTGCTCACGTCTTTGTTACATCATTCGTCGGTCTCGCATTGTTACGGCACAGATAATTGTTTCACAATCTGCGAGTCGTATCGATATAGATACGACTCGAGACGAGGATCCATAAAAAAATACGCATCGCGTCAACGAGATTGAATCGTTCCGTGAAAGAACGAATCGCGAACAAGCGTGGCGCTATCACGCTCGGTCGTTTAACCTTTTTTCCCGCAAGGTTCAAGGGGCTTCTTATCGCCAAGTGTTGCTTTATCACGCGTACGGCGCGTGATCATCGAGTGTAAATAAATTGTCAATCTCGCACCGAAAACACTTTGGCGAAGATGCTGCGCGAATCTGAACTACGTATCCGGGATCGTTTAACGTCACGATATTTTCAGAAGCCGCACTTACTTAATTGAGCGCTCATTACTTCGTCAATCTTGTTTCGTCCGCGCTATTATTCGCCCGACACGATTGTCAATGTCGTTGTTGATGTCAGAGCTGTGTTTCTTCGGTCTTTCTAATCGAGTTCGAAGTTCGAACGCGTAACAGATATCGCGAAATTATCGAGGAATTCGCACAGCGCTGTACTTTTAATTATTACGATAAGACACACGAATTCTATTTGCGCGATATGCGCGCGTGCGGTATATGAAATTTAAAAACGCAATGTTCAATATTTCTCACGGACGAATTTTCACTCGAAGAATCGAACATTGTTCGTATACGCGACGTACATATTTTTCGGACCGACTATTGCTGACTCATTCTTTTTTTGTTTGAACGATGTCACGTCAGCAAATGCATGATTTAAATTTCCATATATTATATTCTTATCGCGCTCATGACTCGCGCACATATGTATATATTTTTTGTTTTTCCTAGAAAACTCATTACTTATTTATAGTTATTTACTATATATGCGTTATTTACTTATATGCCCGCATATTCTCTTTTGTAATTGTCACCTTGCCAAGTACCTCGACTTTTCGAGAGTTCTAGAATAATAAGCGAATAATAAGCTAATGAATAAATAACATGTGGAGTGGGGTGAATAACAAATTAGCACGTTGTTGTTTATTTGATACTTTGTCGCAGTTCCAACTACTTGTGTAAATACGCGCTTACACAGGTGAAGGCGGACATGAACTTTCAAGAATTTTCTTAATTGGTAAATAGCTAAGAACAATACAAGATATAGAAGTAATTAAAGATATATATGTATATATGTGTGTGTATGTGTGTGTGTGTGTGTGTGTGTGTGTGTGTGTGTGTGTGTGCGTGTGCGTATATTTATTTGGAATTTGTGAATTTTGTGTGTGAATAGTTTAGAACGACGCACATTAACATTACAGTAAACAACATTTCGTAAACACAAACAAGGTAAAACGCACATTTTATATCGCACGATAATGCTCTAATTTTACATTGCAAAATCGATGATATTTGCAGATCCTTGAGCTAAATATTATCTTAAATTGGAATTTTCTTTTATCGATACGCTTCTGCGCTGAATAATACGTTTAGTATCATTTACGTAATTTCACGAAATTCTATTGTGCGTTGAAATTCAGTGAACTTTTTAATGGAGAACAAACTTTTTTTCGCTCGCTTCACGGAAGAAAAGTCCGACCTTTTATGTGTCCGATCTCGTACAGATTTATCTACTTCTTGAATGCGAAGATTTGTTATTTGTTTGATCAAAGAAGTTTTATTACTACTGCCGATTTTCACTGTGTGTGATCGATCGTGAGTCTGTGTGTCGCTTCGTCTCGAGAAGAGCTTACGTTCGCAATATTTCGAAGCCTTACACATTCTCTCGATACATATTCATGTGTATATATATATATATATATATTCAGAGCAATATTCCATTAGGAAATACATTCTGACGTATTCAGTAAATTTCTGTTTTCTACAATACCTTTTATTGTTTGTTAAAACATTGTTACAATTTATATGCGGCCTTTATATACGCAAACGTAAATGTATTTATTTATTTGCAACATATCGCGTTCTTATTCGCAATGCATAAACATGTGTATAACGCACACAAACACACATACATATAAGTACATACTTTTTAGATAATACTTTCTGCCAGTGTTTGGTACAATTATTTATTAAATTTGAGTAATGTTCGTATGGGGATTATATCTCTTAGTCTTTTTAACATGTTGTTGAATTCCATCACGTTGGATGAATACCGTTCCATGTTGGTAATCAAAATGACAATCAAATTTCTTATATTATACATATAAAATATATATAATGATCTTATTTCTTCAGGTAGAATAGAAAGGATCAGCCACATCGTATCAGCCATATTTCGTATAAACATTCCTAATCCGGTGTTTCTTATACAATATGCTATCTTAGAGATTTCTTGCGTCACATTGTTATTGTTCTCTTTGCTGTTGTCCTCAATGCTACTCTGATCGCTGCTCTGACTGCTGCTCTGACCGCTGCTCTGACCGCTGCTCTGACTGCTGTCATTCTCATTGCTTCCTAAACGCATATTAAAAAAAAACTTGTGTCTCACTCGCACATATATGTTAATAACTATATGTTTCAATAAAAATTAAAATTATCATTTCACACGGAAGAAGTTGTGTTATCGAATTTATATATGCAACGTGCAAAGTTTTTCAGAAAATATTTACAGTCTTCTTTTGTTAAAACTAACAAGAATACACAGGTATGTGTATATATGTATGTATAAATAAAGCTACAAGTGTGCACACATTGTGTACTGATATCTAAATTTATTTTTTCTAAAACAAAGATCGTGCATTTATTTTTTCTTTCAAACAGATCGTGTATTTTATGGAAAAAAAAAAAAGAGAATGCTCATGATGAGCATTTCAGGATAATTGCTGTATTTGCGGAAACTTACCACTCTGAGCAAAACCCGTGCCAATTACACTGAACAGCAGGATCACCAAACTTATAGTCAAATATTCTTGCGGTCTCATGGTTGCTTGCGAGCTTTTTCGTAATTCGAACGTGGTGTCTAGCAACAATATAGCCGGCACTAATGAACTCCGCAACGCAAGTTCAGGCGTATTTATAACAACCGATAATGAAAAACCATTACTTCTATCGCTTACGTCTACATATGCATGAAATAAGGCTTGTCTTATGCAAAAATATTCAGTAATTGAAATGCCATTTTATAAATGTTTTTTTTACCAAAAGCTCTTTCAAACATTTTGACTAACTTATCTCAAATAAAATGTATTTTTTTTTTGTTTTTTTTTTGTTTTTTTTGTTTCATTCTCGGTTATTTCTTTTGTGATAATTTAAAGCATTCGTGAAATAACAGAACTGGAAATTCATTGTAAAGCTAACATTGTGCAGAAGAACGTATTTTATTTCGTCGCATTTTATTACTCAGAACGCCAGGTGTTTTTTTTTGTTAAAGTCTTTACATTAATTAATATAAGTTAATTAATAACCGCGCTCTTTCTTTTACGATGTATATTATGATATTATATATCTTTTACGATATATATTATATATATATATATATATATATATATATATCGTTAAAGAGATATATAATATCTTTTGCTGTAATTTTGATCTTTCTAAAAACAGCAGTTTAGAAATGACTAAAAAAATTTTAATTTCGCGCTAAAACTACTTAAGTCGCATTATTATTTCTGACTCATTCTTATCGTTCGCCTTGTTGCTTATATCATATGCTGCACAGTGTTTTCTTGTTAATAACAGATAAAACAAATGCGAAGGACACTGAGCGGGTAAATTTAAAAATTGCATTAACTCGCGTAGCAACTTTTTACGTCTCGTATTTCGTGTATTGTGGAAACACATCGTATTTAATTGAGTGCCACTTCCGGGATATTTCTCTCCCTCTTTGTGATTTAACTTTTCGAAAATTCTCTTAGTATATCCTAGACGGCGGGAAAAGGTTGCAAACTTAATTTCTAGAAACTTTTTCGCATCAGCTACTCGGTCTTTCTACTCGGTGGTTACGGACTCGATCGATCAGTTTGGACTTCGCTATCGACGTCGATATCGTTTTCCGAATTTCCGATAAAGTTCTGACGTCAAGAGTGAATGAATCAACTTTACATTTGGAAGATATTTGTGTTATAAAAATTCTAAGAATAAACACAACGTGTGTGTCGCATAAAAATAATAAGAAAACATACGTAGCTACGTGAATCTTTCGCGTAGGTACACGCGGGGGTAATTTAATTCTCAGGGAACTCATATTTCACTGTAAAGTCATTTCCTACGTGAAAGGACGTGCTTTTACGTACGTCACTTTCGATTTACTCCGAGTCTCGTTGAAACTTTGCAGAAACGTTTCTGCAATAATGCTCGAAAACAATTCGAACAATGGCAAAATCAAATACAAGGTTGATTTTCTCTCGCTGAGACTGTAACGCAGAAGGGTAAAGGGGAGGAGAGGAGCGGAGAAGAGGGAGATCGAGAAACGCGCGTCTCTGGAATATATCCCGAAATCCATAAACGTTGGCGTCTCGCCAGGAGACGTGGCGCCTGGCGCCGCGACGCGCGTTCCATATATGAACCTATTTTCTTCAGCTTCAGAAGCTTGTTTATTTTCATCTAGAGATATCCTTGATATCTTGAATGAAAGCTGCACGTTTAAAGCGCAAGAGCTTGAAATCGAGCGAGCAAATCGCTCGAGCGGAAGATTTATTTATACGCTCGCAAAAAGATTTTTCCGTTCACGTCATATGTCGCTTTTCAGAGACAGAGAGAAAGAGAGAGAGAGAGAGCGTGGCAATTAGTGAATGTCATTTTACGGATAACGGAAAGTGTCGCGAAAATTTTCACACGAGCCAAAATCGAAATTCGAACTGAATAAATTTCGAATCACTCGGCGCGCGCCTGTTTACACATCGGACGGAAGAGCGATTCGGATGAGCGGGCGTGAAAACTGCGTGGGATTCGGCACTCGCGCGCGGGTACACAGACGCCACCGCGCATCGCACGTGTTTCTTGTTATGCAAACGTCGTCGGGTCAGCGGCTTTCATTATTACGAGAGAGAGAGAGAGAGAGAGAGAGATGATGATTGTTGGTGCAGCTGTCGCCGATGCGCACTTGTGGATTGGAGCCGCGCGACGTCTCAGCCGAAGCCACACGCGACACATTATCAATCACGATGTATAAACTGCGTGTACGTGTACACATGTATTTACAATAAAATAAACTGTCTTCTTTGTGCCCGTACATTACGTATGCAAAACCGAGAACGTTCGGAAACGGTTAAGCTCCGACAATAAGATAACGTGCCGTAAGAAGTCTTATTGTCGTTTATTTGCACTTATAGCGCTTGTATTTTGATTGTAAAATGATTTTACGTAACACGCTGGGATTTCGCAGCGTGTGCGCCAGATCGTGTGTGTGTGTGGGAGCAGTAGGTAGGTATATACAAACCTTGCGCATCCTCGCGCGAATATAAGCGCAGGCTATATGTCCCTTCGTCTCATATTTACTTACACTTACGTATGCAAAAAGGGAAAAGGGGGCGGGGGAGGAGGGAGAATATACAACTCGCGGCGCGGACGGAAGACGTGGATTCTGTCGAGTTGCGCTTGAAGAGCGAAACCACGCTACTGTGTGTGTGTGTGTTTACGAACTTCGTGCTGCGCAGATTGTGATATCATCGTTCAAATATAAGTGATATGAATTTGTGCGGCATGCAATTTGTGCTTTTCGCGACTCCCTCTTTTTCATTCCCTATCCCGGAACAATAAATTTTCGTTAACAAATTGTTGTTGATAAACTCCGTTTTCCATGTAATTCCCCAAGGATATTGCGGCACACGCTGAGAAGAGAGCCCAGAAACGTGATGTTGCACAACAAACTAAACTTTTCATTTAAATTCGCCGCGTAATTCGCTCTAGATACGTAAATTTCGCAGAAAACGTATAAGCATTCGACGCGCATGCTCGCTTTGTACAGAATTTATTTGTTACAATTTTCGACTTCGCGCGAGAGTCTGTGTTGCGCTTGATGTTTGTGTTGCTCCGAATTATATTCAAGTCGATCATTTTTTTTTTTTTATTTTTACTTTCTAGGTCATCTCTTTTTGCTCGCGTACGACGTTTGTGTTCGGGGAAACACATTGCGACAATACTTATTTTCTCGTGACTAGTCTAGATAAAAAAAAAATTAAAAAAATTAAAAAAAAAAAAAAAGCGATTACTTTCTTCATGAGTCGTCAAAGAGTTAATTGCCGTTTTATTATGTAAATTGTGACAAATGACCTTGCCGTCGTGAACATTGTTGCTTGTGATAATTTATTGAAATTACGATATTGTAAAAGTCGACGCACTCTTGGCGGATGTCGCGACGGTGTCTAATTTTCATTCAAACCGGCTGAATCACAAAAATTTCGATTTTTAAATGGATCGGCGATTCGAGGGAAGGACAACGCAATCTTATCGCGCGAATTTGCGAATCTTTTTCTTCTGTGTGTCGGCGAGAGAAAAAAAAATATTTAGCTATCAAGGCCGCTTTAGCTGTCAGCTCGCGAAACCTTCGGCACGTGATTTACGAGTCGGGAAACGCGGTCTTGCAATATTAAAACGACAGAAAGGCGCGCGTTTTACGCGTTTGCACATTCACATTTTTGTTTTCTCCTCGCTGTATTTGTCTCTCTGATATTTCGGCGTTTCCGACGAACTTGTTACCGCGCTCTCGTCTCTTTTTTCTTTAACGAGCGCGATGAGCGACGATCCGCTTTCGATCGACGAGGAATGTCTGACAGGTGCGGGAGAAGAAGAAGTTTGTGGAAAGAGCGCCGCGCTCGCTTAATTCTCCGAATAACAAGGAATTATTTTTACCGCCGTACGAAATACCGGATGTGGTTCATTGATTTCCGAAATTGATACTGACCAATCGCGTGTGTTGTGATTGCAAAGTACTTCGCAGATTTGTGCGAAGCGAACATTTCAGAGGCAAGCTCAATGAATTCGGGGATTTGTTCGGGCCAATCCTTTCGGACGACCAACGAAATTCTCTCGTATTTTTGTCAATCGTTTTCTAAAATGTGATTTTTTTTTTTTTTTACAAATTTTTTATTACAAATCTTTACAAAATTTCGTTGTGTTTCTCACGTCAGATACGTTGGAAACGCCGAGTCTCGTTATAATGTTTCAAACGTTCGAGAGCGCGTTGGTATGTAGTTTCGATTGAATTCTTAGTACGCGCGTGCGCACAGACATCATTATCATCATAGACGACTTTTACAGACCGAAGATAACGCGAGTGGCAAATACGCGATAAATGACGTAAATGTTATTTGACGTGTGCGGCCGGGGAAACCTTCGTTCCCCTTCAAGATATCGCAGCGTGGCACGCTCATCTCCTCCCGGAGACAAATCACCGTGATTATCTTTATGGTACATCGATTTATTGCTGTCGTCTGCGTTTTCTGTGCGAGTGCACAGGTCAAACGCACACTTGGAATCGCGCGAACGTGTGTTTGCGACTTGATGAGCGACACTTTTCCCGATTCGCGTTTGGATTCGCGCGCTGAGAGAGTTCGAGCGCGCGCCATAAATCGCGCGCGAATTACCTATTTTGTGTGCGGTTTTGCGCGCGACACAAATTTCCGATTGCAAATAAATAGAAGATTTAAATGCACGCAAATTAATCAAATCATCTGTCAGTTACACGAGCAATACTTGTTGCTTGTCTATCTATTTGTGCAAAATGTAAATATACCTTCGTGCGTTAATTTAAAATCACGCACTGTAATGCGTTTGTCTTCCGTGCATGCACAATTGGACCTTCGAGCAGAAAACAAGCTCAGGTGTTTTTTTGCGTTTTAATCGCGTCTTTATTTTCTTGCTCTCACAACAGTTTTTATTTTTATTTACAACGTTGAGAGCGCGGCCGGCGTTGCTACATTTTTGAAAATAATCCAAGATAAAATGAACAACGCGCCGATTAAAAAATTTTGAAAATTAATGTAAATAACTAGAGAACATTTGTGAAATAAAAAGCGCACTGTTCAACACGTAAAAACTTTT